AGATGGATCTCTCATTCCAAACAATATAAGTGGTTTATGATCAGTTTCAATTGTGAATATAATTCTTGGAATAATTTGAAGTCGTTTGAAGACATTATTGTTTTACAGAATTTACGATCGTAGGCAAACATATAATAATTAGATAAGTGGAAGCAGTGAGTGACATCATTAATGTATAAATTAAATAGAATCGGCCCAAGATGCGAGCCCTGCAGTACGCCAGAAACAATTCTACGTTTGTACGAATGAAATCCATCGACAGCCACCAAGTTAAAATGATTGTCAAGATATGATTCGAACCAACTCAGTAAAGTACCGGTGACCCCATACATACCAATTTTTAAAAAACATTAAAGCTTACCTGTCCGTGTGGTGACGGATTAAGAATACAGAGTGTCACCACCCCTATTCATCCAGTGGGTGTCGTAAGAGCCGAATAAGGGAAAAAACTACACAGGACAACAGCACTGCAGAGAGAAGGAAAACTTGACACAAACCCTATACCAACCCGTCTGGCCAGCGTGGTATAGTAGGCCAAAACCTCCTTTCTAAGGAGAGGCTTATGTCCAGCAGTGGACTGTTAAAGGCTGTTGATGATGATGATGATGATGAAAGCTTACCAAAGTGTATATTATGTCCATTTGCCGATTTGTATCAATAGATTCCATTAGAGTATCACTACAGGCCATCAGGTTTGTACATGTTGACCTACACCAAGTAAAACCGTGCTGCGAGCTGCTTATGTACGGTTTAAGGTGATTTTGAATAAGGGAACATAAAAAGGATTCGAATATTTTGCAAAAGTACACAGAATTGAGATAGGATACGGTTAAAATTATAACATCGTATGTATCTGTTTACAGTAATCATGTGTTTTTGTACGTAGGCCACGACTATTTTAGCAAGATTAGGCTAGGTCAGAGCCGATCTTTTACTACCGCGGGTGGTAGAAATGGTGCGAAGCGGCGTATTATCGTTCTTGACACTTTTTGGACATTGATTCGTGCATTCCGGACACAGCCACAACACGGATAACACCCTTTTTTCTTTCAAAACATACAACCATACACTGCGGCATTTTTTACATTCTAAATGTTTATCATTAAGCCCACCTTTCCAGTAACAACCCCACAGCAGAGCAGAGGCATTAGACATACTTGAATTAATATGCGTATGAGCTTTGTGTTTAAAAGTAGTTTAAAGTATCACTTTTAAATTCTCTTATGTTCCCGTTATTTGCAAACAATAATAGTTGGGATCACGGACACTGCAGCGCGCTCCCGTCCAAAACGTCGCAAGCGCCGCTGATTTCTCGTCGCTTACGCGAGCGAGTACCAACTTAAAAGTATAAGTTATGAGCTTTTTATAATATTTTTTGCTTTTATTGTATTTTAAAATGCTCTTTACAATTTCACCAAATGTCTATAAGACCCTTTGTATTATTAACTGCAAATTAATTAACACAACCACGAAAAACATATATTTATACCAGAATATAAATATTTTTACAAACTATAATAAATAGATAGATCAAATTTTCGTCAATTTTTTTAGGAACAAGTAAAATTGGGCCAGACCAATCGTTCTAATCGTTTAGTTGGTTATTTACCTCACATTTTTGTGTATATGGTATTTTGTAAGGTTTACTATAGACTGGTTGAATTGATGCGGTGGCTAGTAGTCAGTCTGGTAATCAGTTTATCTCATTTTCACATTTATTAAAACTACATATATCGTACTCGCTAATTTTCTCTATATTTGGTTTAAAATTATTAAGTTGAACTGTATTTTTACATGCTAATTTTTTATGCAAATATTTTAGATTAAAATAGGTATCATACTGGTAAACGGTTTGATCAACGAAATGTCGAGGAAAAATCCTTCCCCTACTTCGGATGAACAAACAAGACATTCTTCGGTAACATTAGTTCAAATATTATGTATCGACTCAAATCTTGGCGGCAAGGTTAAACAATTGTTATTGTCGCGTACATTTTGTAATGGAAAAATAATATTTCTATGCATGTACTGCACCGTCAATGTCAAACAATTAAGATTTAAAATAGCATTTCATTTTGCAAGAACATCATGTCCTAAAATAGCATGTACCGTACACGGTAAGAAATTAAAAACATAAAACTTACGCTCCAATGTTTCTCCAGCTAAGTCACAAGTGTTGCTAAGCGTTAAATAATCATATGCGATTGCATTTATTGCACCCCCCATTCCTCTTATCTTTATACTCTCTTTATGGATAGGTATGTTTAAGGTTATAATGTATATGTTTATACTTGATAGCACAAATGCAAGCGCCCATATCAACTAAGAATGAGTAATTATAGCTAACAATATATAATTGCATACAACAAGTACTGTCTGTTGCACAAATACAATTCATTCTCCTTAATAACATGAACATTTGCATTATGGTGACCTCTAGAATGATTGAACCTATTATTAGGATTCGCTTACGTACCTCGATGCCATGTCAATCACCCGCGGCTGGCGGAATTCTGGTATGCACGGCCGCTGCCTCGGTGACCCGGATTACCACTGTGATAACTGCTGCTATAAGTATTATTGAGAGGGACAACTCGATTTTGTCGGTTGTATGTCCCAGGCCTAAAATTACTTCTATGAATAGTACCTGAAAGCCTTCTTCTGTTAATTTTAACCATAGACTACATATTTGCCGATTGCAATGGCAAAGCAACGTCTTCGTCAATGCTGTTCGTATAGCAATAAAACAAAATCGTCGTAAAATATTGAGTGATTTATTCTTGCCGTAGAAATTAAACCACTCATTCGTGTGCGTAGAGTGCGTATAGAAGAAAATATTGGTGCTGTAGCTGCCAGTTTTGCTGAAGATTGTGGTTTGTCCATTCGTCGTCGTTTGCAACAACTGGGATTGTGTTATTCCGCTACGTAGAAGATAATGCGCAAGGATCTTGGTTTTAAGGCGTATGAGATACAGTTTCTTCAAGAACTGGAGCCGAACGATCTGCCACAGCGTCTTGTTTTCGGTGAATGGGCTTTAGAAAACTGGAGCAAGATTCGCTTTTTTATCAAAAAAATGCCTTTGGCGATGAAGTACATTTTTGGTTGAACGGATACAATAAAAAGCAAAATTGCCGTATTTGGTCCGATGAGCAGCCAGAAGTGGCACACGAAACTATGGACCTATTGTGCAATGAATTTGGTGAGCAATACATCTCTCGTTTTGGACCAGTTAATTGTCGACCTAGATCGTGCAATTTGACGATGTTGGACTATTTGAGGTGGTACGTCAAATCTCTTGTTTATGCCGATAAATCAGCATCGATTTAAGCACTAGAAGACAAAATCACACTTGTAATCGGTGAGATACGCTCAAAAAGGCTCCGATATGTTCAAAAAATAACTCAAGATTAAACTTCACGTACGGTTCATCTAAAACGTACTTACATGAAAAATTCTTAAAAAAAAATGGCAAGGATAGATTTTAACCCCAGGGAAGGATATTTTTGTTTAAACAACAAACAAAGGAATATGTTTTATGGTTTAACAAAAAACTAATTTTTTGAGATAGGAAAAATACCATTGAACTCGCGACACTGTTACCATTAGGTACCTACACCTCGCAGAACGACCTTCGTCCTCCATAAGCGCAGGCCTGGGGGTGACAGGTGAGGCCATCTGTCACCCTAGCAGAAGCAGGCCGGGGTGGCGGCGAGCGCGTTGCGAAGCGCGCTCGCTTCCAGGGAGCACAGGGAACATGGGGTTCCCACACGGGGCGGGGGTCGTCTACTCGTCTGTAGATGACCCGAGGTATGTCGGGGCACCAGGGCCTTCCTTTCTAGGGTATACCTGGTTCCCCGGCTATTAGTACCCGGCGAAGGCGTGCGGTTTTAGTCGGTTCGAGTCCGACATGCCACCGACAGGTGGTATCCGAGGGGATTTCCGCACGGCAAAAAAAAAAAAAAAAAAAAAAAAAGGTACCTACACCTCTGTATGTAAGTATCTACATACATTTTACATTACACGAGAGTTGAGTTTGGGTTAAAATACTTTGATAATATAACTATTAACCGGTGCTATTATTTTTGCCCCGCACAACCAATTTGTGGAACGGGTTATCATCTGCGGTATTTCCGGACCGATACGACCTTCAAACCTTCAAGAAAAGAGCTTACTCCTTCCTAAAAGGCCGGCAACGCGTTTTTGACTCCTGAGTTGCAGACGTTCATGGGCGGCGATGGTCACTTTCCATCAGGTGACCAGTCTGCTCGTCTGCCCCCTCTAACATAAAAAAAAACTATATATATATAATATAAACATATATTGTGTATATACGTACAATATAGATATATATTGATGTGTTTTCAGTTCTGTCGGTACATTAGGAGCATGTCCTGTGTCGCAGGGGACTTTACAAACATACATGAAACGAACACAAAGAACACTCAGACTCAGAACAACAATTTGTGCATTACACAAAGTGATGTCCTATGTGGGGATCGAACCCACAACACTCAGCGCAGCAGGTGGTGACCGCTTAAAACACTACGCCATCCCTGCAGTCAGTTGAATGTTGAATGGCCTGTTGGTTCAGGTGTTAGTAACTTACTGCTAAGTCTTAGATCGTAGGTTCGATTCCCACAAAGGACAAATAATCATGTGATGAGCATGATTATTGTTCTGTGTCTGGATGTAATTTATCTATAAAACTTAAGTATTTAGAAATATTTAAGTATGTTTATCAGAAGTCTAGTTAACATATGTCGTGTAAAGAAAAAACCGGGGAATTCTCCTATATTTTAAAAAAAGTGAAATGAAATTAATAAAGATAAAGTTTAATACAAGTCATCTATAAAATTAATTATATTTATAGTTAATGTTAAAAAATTATCTCAGTTAAGGATTTATCTACCTTTTTCGTATTAACGTATCTTGTAACTGTTAATGGAAAATCATATAAAAGCTGAACACTTACATTATCATTATTGTTATAATCGATTATAATGGCGTCACTCACCTGGTTCGTTCTGCTCCTGGCAGGTAATTAATTTAAAAATTCTATAATCATTCAATTAAAGCAATTTGATTTTTCATATATGCATTAAATTTGTTAATTAAGTACTGTTGCGTTTCTATAAGCCATGAAAATGTATTTTTTTATGTAAAACCCATCGTATAAGATTCGCTGAAGAGACAGCTTGACGTACTCTCCTACCGGCTAGCACAGGTTCTGACCGACTATGGCCGTTTCGAAAAGTAATTGGAATTCTCGACTAACTCGGGTTTACCTGGGTCCCTTGCAATAGTCTTAGATGTGCCGGAACACCTTGTGGCTTAAATCGGTTCGGTCATGGGGCGTTAGAATAAGCAGTCAAAATTACAAAGTCCATACCACTTAAATATTATTCACAACTTTAGCTTTTAGATTATACCTAGGCAAAGATAATAACTATAGGCAATGGGCAATATGGATCACAGTTTTAAGCCATGAAAATTAGGGTACGCTTCAATTTTTTATGTAAATCTCTCCCACCGGCTAACATATGTGCTGAACGGCCATGACTGTTTCGGAAACTAATCGGGACTACACTTGGGAAGTGATCTCTGCATGCTATCACTTGGGAGCTCGTCTCTAGGATGCTACACACTTTAGTTGAGTGCTCAACGTGGATGAAATGCTGCAACCTCGTGGCAGCAATTTACATATCTCATGGCTCTCGCCACATACCATGGTTCTGTCTATTATAAAAGGTGTGAGTGCGTGGCATTTCAACACTTATTTTTGTGAGGAAGCAACGGAGGCGCCAGAACGGCAACGGGAGAGCGCCAGTACTTTCCTGTCCCGAAGAAGTGGCACCAGTTACCACCACTCTCCAGAGAGTGCAGAAGAATCGCCGACCTCCAAGAGGCCTGTTTTTGTTTAACGATGACACTGCACGTTAGACCGATCAGAACCACTTCTGCTCCTCGCCTAGCAAAACCACTTCTGAACCACAAGGAGGGCAAGGCTCTCTGCACGCAATGGTTAGGTTGCTTGTGGCGGCCAGGATCTGTCGGCATTCTCGACTTACTTGTTAACATAGATGTACCGGAGCACTTCGTGGTTTAAGTAGGTTTGGTCGTGGGGGTACGCGATAAAATAAGCGGTCAAAATTACAAAGTCGATGACATATAAAAATTACTTAGAAGCTTAACTACTGTGCTATTATCATTATATCTAGGTAAAGATATGTAAGATATATAGGACTATTTTGTTTCCACTTTGATGAAAGTTATTTTCACAACTTCGCTATTAGAGAAAACATCATCATGTTTGAACATATGTCCTGAGTTGTCCATCCAGCGCTAACTCGCTAGTTAACATTTTTTATAGCCCTTAAGTCTCGTCAATCTAAGCGTTAACATTCCCATTGTAAATAGATAAAGTGTCACTTGTTATCATTCTATCTTGAAGAATTCGTTTAAAATTTGTCCCAAAACATCATCTTAAAAATTTATTTTCCTTTGATAAAGATTTTAATTCGTTTTATTGATATTTTTTTACAGTCACTGAATTCTTATGGTCGACTGAAGTCTAAGTTTTTTATAGACTCGGACCTTAAGATAAGAATATGATTAGTCAAAAGGGAATGGAAAATTTGGTCAATTCTTGGCAATCATTCATGGCTTGTTATGTACTAAAATAAGTGCTAATATTTTAGAAAACAGCTAATGGAACGCTTAAATTAGATGTTTTTTTTTTACTATTTCATAGTTTGGATATTAGCTGTACTTGAAATAAATATAAATTAAATAAAAATGACATTACACGTTAAGCAATTCAAAGGTAAACTAACATTATTTATTTTCCTGATCGCTGGATCCGTGTATTTTATTATTATTTATTTTTCTGATCACTGCATCCGTGCATTTATTATTATGTATTTTCTTGATCACTACATCCGTTTATTTTATTATTATTTATTTTACTGATTACTAGTAATCTTTGTTTATAAAAATATTAAGTAATTTTCTCTATGCTTCAACAAATTCTGCACCGATTGAGCGTAAATTTTAACACGATTCAGAGATAGTTTTTATCTATTTTTCGCGTCAGTTTTTTGCTACCACAACGAAGTACAGCATTTTATAAAAATCTGTTTTATTAAATGAAACATATTTAATGAAATTGATATAGATTAGGGTTAGGACATGAAACCCTCGCGGGCTTCCTTAAAAGAATATTCCTAAATTTTTATTTAATCTGATCAATGATCGAGCTGGATGCGACAAGCCTAAAATCCAAAATAAGAGAGGCCTATGTCCAGCAGTGGACTGCGATAATCTGATGATGAATGATCGAGTAACACATGGAAAATAATAATAATAATTTATCGGGCCCTAAATGGGTCCGATATAAGCTAAAAAGCATCTACGACTTGGCTACGGTATGGTGATCTCTTCGGAGAAACTGAAGGTTTTGTTTGTGCGATTATGGACGTGCGATTATTATGACGAACAACTATCGGAAATATATCCTGAAAGATGGTATGGTTGACATCTGTCGGGCATGCCACCGTCCTGGGGAATCAGTCAGGCATATTATTTCTGGTTGTTCAGGACAGGCATAACCAAGTAGCCAGGATCGTACAGCAACAGCTTGCCCCTTAAATACCAACTTGTAAATCTAGAGGTGCTATACTACAGGTCCCAGTTCTGGAGAATGGTCTGGCCACGTTGTATTGGAATCGATGTATTATCACGGATAGGACTATTGTTGCCAATAAGCCTTATATTGTAGTGATAGATCGATTAGAGCGCCGCGCAAAGTTTGTTAATATCGCCGTTCCTCATGACGAGAATCTCGGGAAAGTTAATAAAGAAAAACAGATCAAATATTTTGATTTATCTCACAAGATTGTTGAAATGTGGAATGTCGATTCAGTGATCATTGTTCCCATAGTCGTATCTGCTCACGGATTGATAGCCAAGAGCCTCAATCAAGGGTCTAATCAAGAAGGCAGTCCTCCTGGACACGGCTCGTATTGTGAGGAGGTTCCCATCTTTGGAGTCCTAACCACCGGTGTCTTGGTCCCTGTACTCGATGTTGGTGGTGTACTATTTTTTATATTTTTAAATGTTTTTAAGCAGAGCTTGTACTATGGGTACTAGACAACTGATATTAATACATTTATACTTTTTTTTTGTAAATACATACATATTATAAATAGAAACACCCAGACCAAATCAAACATTAAAAGTTCATGCACACAAATCGAACCCGCGACCTTTAGAATCGCAGTCCGTTACACAAACATCTAACCGGTCGTCAATACAAACCTTTCTTGCATTATAGTTTCAATACTCAATACTCAATACTTTATTGCTACCATAATGTAAATTTTACAGTTGGTAAAAACTTAAGCTAGGTATCAATTATGGACCCTGTCGGGCACAGCATAGAAGAGAGAGAGAGAGAGGGGAATGATTATTACTAAATTTATTTATAATATATTATATATATATATATTTAATCTGTATAGTCATTATTTTATTTTTATTTAAATATTTAATAATTATTTATTGCACTAAGTTTGTATTATTTGTTATAAAGGTTATTAGTATTATTGTGATTTATTTTGTTAATTGTTGCAATTGGTTTTGGTCAGGCTTGACTAAAACCAATTGCAACAATTAAATGCTTAAATTAAATTAAACTAATGTTTTAACAAAAACAATTAAATTAAACAATGTTACTAGTGTTCTAGGTCACTGCTGTATAATTAAGATTATATGTGAAAATGTTTATTATACCTAACAGATAATCACAGATGTTGACCAAATTTCATAGTAGGTAAGTGGCATACGCAGTTCAACGATAAAGTTTTCTTTTTTGATAAACGTATTTATAGATAAAGATATTAAAGTATTTTTTATTGATCAGTAATAATTCATCATAAGACGCATATCTAAGTCTTACTACATTTGAAACAAATAATTAATATTAACCGGGCCTGTTGGTTAGCGATCATGACTGCTGATCTGGGATTCGATTCCCACATCAATTTATAAACTCAAACTCAAAATATCTTTATTTCATTTTTTTATTGTTCGGAATGTTTCTAGTAAAGTTAACACACATAATAGTAACAATCTCTGTTTTGCCACATACTCAGCAAAATAGATTTAATAAAATTATAGGTATCAAAAATCATATGTCTGTACAGATTCACAATCCCCCGTTTCCAAAGGTTGATGCACATGAGAAGAAAGGGCAAGGTAACTCACGGCCACCTTTTGTTTAGCCTTTTGTGAGCTATCACAACATTATTTTGATGTGTGCCAGTATGTCATTTGTTAAGGAATAAAAGGTAAAAAGGCAACGAAAAGAAATGAGTGAACTAAAATATATAAAAAAGATTCCGACGAATGGAGAACCTCCCCCTTTTTGGAAGTCGGTTAAAAATTGACAAATAAATAAAAAACACACTAGCCATCACATTTCTACTTAACAAATAGACTGTGCTTAATTAATTCCAAAATTATTGTATTCTATGTAATCCACAATTATATAGAATATAAAAAAAAAAATGCAGAATCGGAATAGGATTCTTATATTAAGTTTGATACTTAAGCTAACATAAAACTAGTATATGACTATTCTAAAACTTACTCTTGTGAATTGAGCACTCTTGTGAATAGAAAAAAAAAGTAATATCAAAATATTACACATTCTTTCGCAAACGGCCTGAGCTAGTATTACTACTATTAAAATTCTAATATATTAATAATGTTATCCGTGTGGTGACGGATTAAGAATACAGAGTGTCACCACCCCTATTCATCCCAAACTTTAACCGAATACAGTAGGCAAGTTCTTTCCTGATAAACGCAATTGTGTATAAATATTCCATATTTGTAGGTATGTAGAAGGTTAGCCGTGTGTATTCATCTCGTGAGTGTCGTAAGAGCCGATTAAGAGAGCAAATTGTGCAAACAACAGCACTGCAAAAAGAAGTAAAACTTGTAACAAACCCTATACCAATCCGTCGGGCCAGCGTGGTATAGTAGGCCAAAACCTCCATTGTAGGGAGAGGCCTATGTCCAGCAGTGCAGCATTTTAAAATTACTAAGATTTTTTCTGTGTGTGCGTGATTAAGCTTACCTAAATATTTTCCTACTAGAGTTTGACACTTAGTATACGATCATCATCATCATCATCATCATCAACAGCCTATACTAGTCCACTGCTGGAGATAAGCCTCTCCTTAGAAAGGAGGTTTTGGCCTACTATATCACGCTAGCCAGACGGGTTGGTATAGGGTTTGTTTCAAGTTTTCCTTCTCTTTGCAGTGCTGTTGTCCTGCTTGGTTTGCTCCCTTAGTCGGGTCTTACGTCCGGAAGTCCGTGTGGTGACGGATTAAGAATACAAATTGTCACCACCCCGATTCATCCCGTGGGTGTCGTAGTATACGATACGGCATATATTTTCAATACTTTGTTTATCTTATTATATAGATAAGGACGATACACCCTAAGAAAGGATAAAATTTGTTGACGTACGTATGCGTTATTTGGGGTTTGACTCCTTCATGCCTCGGAGAGCACGTTAGTCCCGATTGCCATATGAACATCTGTGACAGTCCACAGTCCAAAAGTGTGTAGTCTTTTTACAGAACTTCGATATCGCCTAGTACTTAGGTTCTGGACGTCTGGTGGCGGTCGCTCCGCATAAATAATCTAAATTCGGCCCTATCGTAGTAAAAAAAGGCTCTGAGGAATATGAAATTAGTTTGTTAATCAAATACAGTTGCTTGTTTACACAATAAGGTCAATCCTTATATTGGGAAAAATACTCTGTATAAATCAACATAATGATAACTATGTTTATTATTATATTCGACCGGTTGAAGGTAGCCCTTAGACTTGGCTATATGCTTAATACCACCCATTATGTAAGAACGAATAAAATTATACTGGGCAAAACGCATGTTTTTATAACTTTGTCCACCCCTTTGGGGATGAAAAATTGTATGTGTGTAATAATGCATAATTGTATGTATCTGCGTCTGTTACTATACACTTTTTTTTTTTTTTTTTTCCGTGCGGAAATCCCCTCGGATACCACCTGTCGGTGGCATGTCGGACTCGAACCGACTAAAACCGCACGCCGTCGCCAGGTACTAATAGCCGGGGAACCAGGTATACCCTAGAAAGGAAGTCCCTGGTGCCCAAGAAGTCCCTGGTGCCCTCTGTTACTATACACTACAATAATGCAGATCCTTAACAAACCAGCTTTCATTGTCTGACTCACTGACAATTTTTTGTTCAGGTTTGACCTACACCCATGCCTTGGGAACCCAGACGACAATTCAAAATTTGCCTAGCATGGCCCAGGTAGAATTCAGATTAGGTGCCGTATGGAGACAACAGTGTATCGGTAGCATCATCACTAATTACCACGTCTTGTCCGCTGGGACCTGCTTCCAAAACCAGTAAGTGCACTGTCAATTAATGGTCCTGTTGGTCTAATGGTTACTGATCATGACTGTTAAGCCGGAGGTAGCTGGTACGTTTCCCATCCAGGACAGATATTTTGTTATGAGCACGAGCATTTGCTCCGTGTCTGTGTGTAATTTATCTATAATATGTATGTATTTAGAAATATTTAAGTACGTTTATCACCAGGCTTTGTCTAGCTTGGGTTTAGACGGTCGAGTGTGATTATTATATCAACAGAATTGGCTTAATGATTTAATAGTTGCACTTTTGACGTGACAACGTCTTATGATTCGATGGAGCCGGCTGCACGCACGAAAAAACATGACTCATGCGGCGTTACCTCGCTCTGAGGCGTTCCATTTAAGGCTTGAAGTGCAAGCGAGAGCGCAGAACGAGCGACAAAGAGGCACAATCGGCCTCCGCGTTCGGCAGCGTTCGACATCTGTCTAACAATTAAAATAAAAATTTTCTTTTGAAAAATGCAACCATTCCATTAGTATTTTCTTATGACGTTGTCACGTTCAACTATCGTCAGTAAAGCGACTTTACAGACAACCGTTTTTTTTACAAATTTATGTTTCGATCTTGATATTAAAATGAACTCTATCCTCATTCCAGTCCCAGTGTCCGTCTAATTCGTGTTGGTAGTGGCGTAAGCGGAGTTGGGGGTACCAGTCATGAGGTAGCCAATATTAATAATCATCACGAGAGAGACTTGAGCGTCGTCTGAACAACCATGAGCTTTTGGTTTGGACCAACGGTCCAGAATATTCCTATCGCACCTGTGAACTTTTATATACCTGCACACGTCCATTTGTCTATGGCGGGCTGGGGTATTACCGCTGTAAGTATTTTATATGTTAAAAACTATTTATACGAAATCGAGACAAGCTAACGGACGGGGAAGAGGATATTCTTACTCAATCATTGAAAAGCTACGATTGAATTACTCCACACCAGTTTTCTTTGAGCTGGCTCACATATTCCGAAGCCTGAAGGCAGTTGCAAAGGTATAACATAAATGAAGCATGTTACATATTTTATTAAATCCTATAGATTTTAAAACGAATTTTGAAATTTCTACCAGCAGTCATGCGATTAGCGTGTTCAAAAAACAAACTGTTTCGTTTTATTTGCGTAGTGGTTTGTGTAACGGACTGCTATTCTAAAGGTCGCGGGTTCGATTCCCGCTCAAGTCAAACATTTGTGTGCGTGAACATTTAATGTTTGATTTGGTCTGGCTGTTTCTATGTATAATAAGTATGTATTTACAAAAAAAAAAGTATATATTTATTTATATCAGTTGTCTAGTACCCATAGTACAAGCTCTGCTTAGTTTGGGACTAGATGGCGTTGTGTGAATGTGGTACAATATTATTATTATTATTATATTATATAATATAAGCATTTAGTTAACCTACATTTTAAGAAACTGCTCTAAATTATGAAGTGAATTAAGTGTTTATTAGATCTCACTAAATGTATATACTCATGTACAAAACTCAGTTGTATATCTGGAAAAATGTAGAATATTAACTAAAAGCCCGTGGGCAATATTTTATTATATTCGTACACAAAGTTGTAGGCTGTCCTGGTATTGTAAGTTTTTTTAAATGAAATATATGTACACAATTCGGATTATGATATCTAATCATATTCTCCAGTATCATTTACCTACGCAGTGCTTAACAGTATACCCGTTTCAGAAGTACAAATATATTATTTTACCTGATTAATAACATTGTATGTCACTTTTTTATGCATTTAATATTATAAATTTTATTTTCACAGCAAGGAGGCTTAGTTGCAAATAACATCCTCTACAGGATGGAAGTGGAAAGCAAGGATACCACCGGATGCGCTGCTCAGTTCCCCGGCCGCATCACTGGAGACAATTTGTATGTCGGTCTAGTTGGCAGGCCTGGCCGGGACTTCGATCCTAGTGATACTGGAGCTCCTATCCTTTATCACAACATCTTAGCTGGAGTGGCCTCGTTTGGTTCGTCTGCTACCTATAATTTGTTGCCCATTGTTTCCACCGCTATTAGCCCTTACACTAATTGGATTGTTGGTGCTGCAGTTTAAGAAAAGCATTCTACAACCTTCGGTGTATTCAATGCCTTTTGAAGATATAAAGACAGTGTTATATTTATCTTATTCACTTTACTTTTTTAAATAAATGTTTTAAATATTCATGGTTGTTTGGACATCTTATTGTCGGATACAATTTGCAATTTAAAAATAAATAAAGCAAATAGATAACCTCAATTTACTTTTTTTTATCCATTAGTCGACAACGTTACGATTAACATATTTCAACGCGGATCCGTTCGTGGGAACATTGTTAAAAAAGTAAAAAACTGTCAAAAACAGTTTATCGTGTTTTACAAGAAAACTTGAAATCGTACAAAGAAAATGTAAATGTACGATAAAAAAACGAATAAAATTACCCGATTAGTTGAATAGTTTTCTTGCCAATTGCAAACTACCGCTTTCTTTACCATTTAAAAAAAATATAACTCACGTACTAACCAATATTAAGACCCCGAATTTGGTTAGAATATGGGTTTTGTAGCTTGTAGTTAGCCCATTAAATTTCAGCAAGATCGGCTTTAAACTTTTTGCGATACTTTAAAAAAACTAAGAAAAATGCCTCCTGCCGGCTGGAGAGAGGAAGCCAGGGCAAGGGACAACGCGTGTCTCGGAAAAGGGAACATAACTATGGCTGCAGTGGCGTGAAGAGTCTATCCTGTGATTTGGAGAGGGAAAGTGTTCACCATCTGACTAACGTAACTGAAATGCGAATGTGAAGGAGAATCAAAATGAAAATGTTTGTATATATACTGTAATCTTACATTTTACGAATAAATTAATATGAAAGTGTTACAAGACTAGGATAGGCAAGGAGAGTAATGAATATTAGAGAAAGCCTGAAAGTAGCTCCAGTAGATGAAAAGTGGAGGAATAACAGATCATTCCAGTATGGACATGCGTAGAGATAAGCAAAATGTAGTAAAGAAAGTTTTATGTGTGAAAGTTAATGAAGATAAGTGTAAAATACAACCAAAGTAGATGAATAAAAGATAGCTAGACTACGTGAAAGAAGACATGGCTAGAAAGGGAGTAAGCTGTGATTGGTCAATTTATCAATTTGTCAGAATGAATATTAGAATGGAAGAAGAAAACTCATATTACTCACCGAAGAACTCATCTCTCTCATTCTAAATAAATAAATTTGAGAGAAGAGTAAACAAGACAAAAAGATAGATAGACTGCGTGAAAGAGGATTTAGCTAGAAAGAGTGTAACTAAAATGACGAATGAATAAAACAGAAATAGGAAAGAAAATATATTACGCCAACCATAAATTATGTTACAAAAATGGGAACCTTTCTATGTTTGTAACCTAATTACTTCTTAAATAAAAATATGGTTAAATGCAAGTCACCTACAAAATTAATTTTGTTTAATGTTAAAAAATTATCTACATGCAGGATTTATCTATCTTTTTTAGCATTAACGTATCTTGTTACCGTCAATGGAGAATCGTATAAAAGCTGCACACTTGCTTTATCACCCATTGTCATAATCGATTACAATGGAATCACTCACCTGGTTTGTTCTGCTCCTGGCAGGTAAATAATTTAAAAACTCTTAATCATTCAATTAAGGCAATTTGATTTCTCATATATGTATTAAAATTGTTAATTAAGTACGCAACGTACCTATAAGCAATGAAAATGTGGGCACGCTCAATTTTTTTATGTAAAACCTATCGTATAAGATTAGCTGAAGAGACAGCATGACATACTCTCCTACCGGCTAGCACAGGTTCTGACCGACTATGGCTGTTTCGGAAAGTAATTGCGATTCTCGACTAACTTGGGTTTACCTGGGTCCCTTGCAATAGTCTTAGATGTGCCGGAACACCTTGTGGCTTAAGTCGGTTCGGTCTGGGTTAGATTATACCTAGGTAAAGATAATAACTATTTGGTTTTTACTTTGATAAAAGTTATTTCCAAAACTACCCTGTTAGATAGAATCATCATCATTTCCGAAGCCTGAGCGGTCCATACAGCGCTAACCCGCAAATTAACATTTTTTGCTATTTGTTATCGCCCTTGAGTCTCGTAAATCTAAACGTTAACAATCCCATTGTAAATAGAAAAAGTAGTGACACTTAACATTCTACCTTTAAGAATTTGTGGAGGAACGGGTGTCATGTCCCTCCAACACAAAGGGAAGATCCTCCGACCAGGCGAGGTGATCATGCCTGGCGGGCCGAGGCCCAACGGTTGATGTTGGGAAGTTGTATATATGCTAATCGGCGAGGGAATTCTTCATATCGCGATACAGGATTAGCAATTCTTATTTTAGTGTTTACGCCGTAGTTCAATGTGTCTTCATTAGATGGCGCTGTAGTATGTTTATGTGGGAGGCGCCACAAATTCGTTTATAACTTTGTGCCAAAACATCATCTAAATAATTACTTTCCATTGATAAAGACTTCGTTTTATTGGTATTTGGTTTACAGTCACTGAAATCTTAGATTTTTGTAGACTCGGACCTCAACATAAGAATTTGATTAGCCAAAAAGAAATGGGAAAATTGATCAATTATAATTTTTCAAATTTTACTTTTTAATTATTGACATTAATTTACGGCGTGTTATGTACAAAAATGAGTGCAAATATTTTAAACAGTAGCCAATAAAATAAGATAAGTTTATTATTTTACGGGTACAGTTTTGCTACTAGCTGTACTCTACTACTACTACTAGCTCTACTGTACTAATTTAAATAAAAAAAAAAAAGATTTCTAATTTTAAACTTTCGCATTTTATGATGTCTAATGATTACCTATGAAGGGAAGTTAAGACAATCTGTGACCACGGCCAGTGTAATGTGACCAAAGCGTTAGGCAATTCAAAGGTAAATTTATTATTATTGGTTTTTCAGGTCACTGTATCAGCGCATTTTTTATTACTTATTTTTCTGATCACTACATCCGTGTCTTTTATTAAGATCACTGCATTCGTGCATTTTTTTTTTTTTATTCCTGTTCACTGGTAATCCATATTTATCAAAGAGTTAAAATAGTTTCTGTATGCTTCTAAAACTCAAAAAGTTCTGCACCGATTGGGCTCAAATTTTGACACGATATATAACCCACTTCAGAGATGGTTTTTATCTATTCCTCGCGTCGTTATGCAACCATAATATACCACAGCAAAGCATGGCAGGTTACAGCTAGTAAAAAAAGGTGTTTAATTTTATAAAACATTTTATTTTAAATTGACATAGGTTTAGGACCCGAAAACCTCGCGAGCGTCCTTAAAAGAATCTTCCTAAATTTTAATTCATCCTGATCGAGAAACACATAGAAAACGAACACACAAACCTTTCTTCAACCATAGTTACACTAGTGTTTTAGGTCACTTCTTTACAATTACGATTATATGCAAAAATGTTTATCATACCTAACTGATAATCCCAGACTTTAACCGAATACAGTAGGCAAGTGGCACGTGCAGTGCAATGATAAAATTTTATTTCCTGATAAACGCATTTGTGTATAAATATTCCATATTTGTAGTTATGTAGAAGGTTATCCGTGTGGTGATAGATTAAGAATAGTGAATGTCGCCACCCCTGATCATCTCGTGAGTGTCGTAAGTGCACGACTAAGGGAGCAAACTACGCAGAAAAACAGCACTGCAAAGGGAAGGAAAATTTGTAACAAACCGTATACCAACCCGTCTGGCCAGCGTGATATGTAGTCCAAAACATCCTTTCTAAGGAGAGGCCTATATCTAGGAGTGGACTATTAAAGGCTGTTAATTCTACCAATCAATAATAATTATGTAGAACTAACTAACTCTTATTTCGCTTGAAACAAATAATGAATAATAATATAAATATAATAAATACATAATTTATTACAAAAAGAAAAGTACAAAATATGTGATACATTGCCAGTGGCCCAGCACTACACTTATAAACTTATGTATTGAACAGGGAGTATATCCCAGTGATCTAAAAACATCCATTCTTAAACCACTTTTCAAGAAGGGGAGTAGAAGTGACATGAACTGTTTTAGACCTGTTGCTCTCATTCCTGTTTTCTCCAAAGTCATCGAAAAATTCATACACAAATGTTTGTACAACTATTTTGAGAAAAAGAATTTACTAGCAATTGAACAGAAAGGTTTTAGAAAGGATAAGAGTATAGATATCGCTATTTATGAAATGATCAGTAAGGTGTTGTTTTTCATGGACAGAAAAATACCAGTGTCTGCTGTGTACATGGACATGAGCAAAGCTTTTGACCACGTAGACCATAGAATTCTTCTTGACAAGCTGCATGCATATGGCATAAGAGATAAAGCACTTAGTCTAATACGTTCCTACTTAGAAAATAGAACACAAATAACGGAAGTAGTCAGAATATGTCCAAAGTCAAAAACTGAAGTCAAATATAAGTCAGATCCAAGATATGTCAGGTACGGTGTACCACAAGGGAGTGTATTGGGGCCCTTGGTTTTCCTTACATACATAAATGACTTGCCGAAAGTAGTTAGCACACCTATGATTTTATTTGCTGACGATTGCACGATGATATGTTCTAGATTAGGGACAACTGACTTGAGTATATATGGAGATGACATTAATAATTCAATTAAAACAGTTAATGAATGGCTTGCAAATAATAATTTAAAAATAAATCTAGACAAAACAAAAATAATGAATTACAAACAACGGACACAGACTTTTGACATAAACGTAAATTATGCTGGGCTTAACATAGCAGAGGTAACTAATCAAAAAATTTTAGGATTATGGATTGATAAAGATTTGTCATGGAAAACACAAATAGAAGAAATATGTAAAAAATTAAATTCCTTCTTGTACGCATTATATATGCTCTCTAAAGCAGCGAGTTTACAGGTCGTACTAATTGCTTATAATGCTTGCGTCACGGCTACACTACAGTACGGAATCATTTTTTGGGGAAACTCACTTAAGAGAGACGATGCGTTTCGAGCACAAAAACAATGCGTTAGAGCCGTATGTGGTTTAAGGTTGCCGGACAGTTGTAGACCTCGCTTCAAGGAACTGAAGATTTTGACTTTTCCGTCACTGTACATTTTTGAGTTGGCAGTTTTTGTTAAATTGCATCCAGAATATTTCCAATCCTTAAAAAGCCAAAGACAACGTGATAGAATCCACGCAACGCCCCACACAAGTGCGCTTTTTAATAAAAATATCCTCGGTATGGCTCCTAGAATATTTAACAAGCTCCCAAAAAATATTCGTCAAATATGTGCAATATGTAAATTTAAACGTGATCTAAAAGCGTTTCTGATTGAAAAAACGTACTACAGGATAAATGACTTCCTCTTAGACATTATTTAATGACATTTGCAATTGTTTGTTCAATGATTGTGGCTAGTATTTGTTACTGATTCACTGAAAATGGATATATATATGTACATTTAGATAATACTGGATTATTGATTTGACATAATTTAAAATTCTGCGATTTTGCTCAGGTACTGATATAATTTAGGATTAAGAGTTTTTATTTTTTATTTCTTAATATATGACAATTCAATAGATATTTGTTGTGTTTAGAGTAATTAATTTGTATGAAATATTTGCACACCTGAAAGGGTAGTATACAGAGGCCAAAACTAGTATATAAGATCTTTGTATAACCTGTAATACGCAAATAAACAATTTGATTTGATTTGATTTAGGCAAGCCTGTCCTGTGGGTGCCAGTTGCGATTACACATTTCGCTATACATTATTGTTCGGTATACATTACATCGTCGTTTTTAATTTAAAGTATACAGTGTTACTTGCTTATATTTGAGACAGCAATCTATTATAGTTAAAACTTATTTGGATTCAATTCCCATATTTATATGATGATCATCATGCTCATTTGTTCCGTCTCTGGGTGTCATTTATCTATATTATTTGTTTGTATTCAGTAATAAATGTATGAGTATGTTTATTTAGAAATATATTGTCCGGTTGGCGGCAATTTATAAGTGAAAACTAATCTTTATTATAATATTATATAATGTGTAACCATGCTAGGTTAGCATTAACTGTAATAAGTGTAACTATTGTTGTGATTGTGAATGTGTTGGACACCTGTACTTGATAACGTACTATACCTGTATTTGATAACTATTTGTTATATTGTTGTCTTTGTGAATTTGTTAACCATTTTTTATGTTTTTATCCTTGTGACGATGAACACTATCAATATTTTGAATGGCCATGTTCTAATGAAAGTGATGAAAATCTTATATGAGAATAAATATCTTTAAACCTTTAACATATTACATATGTAGGACTAAAATTATTCTCGGCGAAATACGAGCTTCTCATAGTGTTGCGCCATAGGATTATTTGAGAATTATATGGAATGTAGAGGACAGCGCCATCTAGTATCAAATAGGCCACAACGCTACGCGTTGTGATTAATAATTGTGATACTTGCAACGCTAGATGACGCTGCAAGTAAATCGTAACTCATACTGGATTATCATTTGTCTGGAACGGACTATAAAAATTTAATGCTTTTGTACAATACTTTGGGGTTAAAAAAGTTAAAAACTATTGTTTTAAAAGTAGGCATGGATCTGTTATTATACATTAAAATAATCTAGTTTGTGAACAAACCTGTTTTCACTGACTGAATCACTGCTTGTATTGTTTTAGGTTTGACCTGCACCCATGCCGTGGGAACCCGTGAGACAATACAAAATTTACCTAGCATTTGCCAGGTAGAATTCAGATTTGTTCTCATATGGACACACGATTGTGCCTGTAGTGTCCTCACTACTGGCCATATCATTTCCGCTTGGTCTTGCTTCCAAGCCAGGTAAGTCCACTGCCAATTAATGGTCCTGTTGGTGTAATGGTTACTGATCATGACTGCTAAGCCGAAGGTAGGAGGTACGATTCCCACCTAGACAAATATTCTGTGATGAGCACGATCATTTGCTGGGTATCTATGTCTGGGTGTAATTTATCTGAAACTAGCTACCCGCTTCGGCTTCACACGAGTGTAATGTGTGGAGTAATTAATTATACTATTATTATGATAAGACTACAGGACATTTTTTTTTGCAATATTTGCATATTTTAAATCTCTAATATATACTAAGATATTAATTTTAATTATATGCTTTAAAAAGCAATTTTGATCTAAATTTAAATGCGCAACGTATTTATTTGGATAAGGAATAATAGTGTATTGTTCAAAATAGCTTCGTAAATTACTCTTTTTTTTAAATAACAGGTAAAAGATAAAAATGGTTGGTGTAGGTTATCCTTAGATAGACATATTGTACCATCGCGGACTTTATTTTATATTTTTTCAAGCTGTACAATTCCATGGTACATTATTTTGATCTGTCTTGTAAGGTTAAGCCAGCGTTTGCAATGTACGGTGTGGGTGGCGGCTCTGACCGCCCCGAATAGATATTGGCGGTCAGAGCCATACGCGGATACCGCACGGTGTCCACCGAGGCGGCTTGCGCCTTGGCCGGAACACCCCCGTGGGATTTGGAGGCGGAAGTGCTCGCAGAAGTTTATCGGCGAGTGGCTGACTTCCGGGCGGAGAGCGGATTTCGCCCTCCGCCCGAAGACGTGCGCGAGTGGCGCGAAGCCGCTCGCCGAGCCACCATGGTCAGATGGTCGTTCCGGCTGGAGGCTCTCCAGCCGGTCATCGCCGAGTGGGCAGGGCGGCAGCACGGGACCCTTTCCTTCCGGCTAACGCAGGTGCTTTCCGGGCACGGTTTTTTCGGAAAGTACCTGTACTCGGTCGCTAGGAGGGAATCGAGTCCCGCCTGCCACCACTGCGACTGCAGTGAGGATTCGGCCCAGCACACGCTGGCGGTTTGCCCCGCATGGGCGACGCAGCGCCGGTCCCTCACTGCAGTCATCGGAGCAGATCTCTCGCTACCGGCCGTAATTCGCTCCATGGCCGGTAGCGACAGTTGTTTTACCGCGGTCGCAACCTTCTGCGAGGAGGTAATCTCGCAGAAGGAGGCGGCGGAGAAGGCCCGGGAGGACGACCTCCACTCGGACCTGATCCGCCGCCGGCGAACCGGGCGGCGGAGGCGCGCTTACCTGCGCCTCATGCCGCCCTGAGTGTGGCCGCGGGTGGACGGCGGGCGGCGTCCGAGTGTGCCGGACGTCGCCTAAAGAGAGGGTCCACTGAGACGGAGCCCGCATCAGGAGCGGGCCGGCGCTGGGAGGGGTCCAGAAGGCGATAACTACCTTGACCCCTCCTAAACTGGAAGCGCAAAGAGGGCACACCGTGTGGTTTTAGTCGGTTCGAGTCCGACACACCGCCCCGCGTTAAGCTCACAAAACATGTTTTTTACGATTTTATATTACAAATCTGTAAAATTCTAAGATTCCTCTACTATAGTACCTATGCATGTATTATAATATACACCTGCCTCGTGAATCACTCTCTCTATTGGTGTAAAATTCATTTAAATTCGTTGCGTAGTTTGAAAGATCTAAGCGTAGAAGGCAAAAACGACTTCATTTTTTACTATGTAAGGATATGTACTCGTATGTATTTAGAAATATTTAAGTATGTTTATCAGCAGACTCTGCCTAGTTTGGGATTAGACGTCCGAGTGTGACGGATTGTTATATTAAAAGAATGGGCCAAATTATTCTATATTTACACAAATTTGTGTTTACACCTGATATTGCCTCATTTCAGTCCCTCTGACCGTCGAATTCGTCTTGGTACTGCTACAAGTGGGTGGGGAGGTATCACTCGTGAGGTACGCAGCATCATCAATCATCCCCTTGCAGACTTGACTGTAGTCCGATTAACCAATCTCGTGTTGTTAGGACCAACGATCCAGAATGTTCCTATCGTACCTCAGGACCACTCCGTACCTCAAAATGAGCCCTTGTCTATTGCTGGATGGGGTTCTACCGCTGTAAGTATTTTACATGTTAAACACTTTTTTAGGAAAGAGGGGCCAGCGAACGAACAGGAAAGAGGAATCTCTTGGAGTGTCTTAATTTATTTTTTGTTTAGTTATCGCTGGACAGGTTTCTCAGTCTGTCGATCTCAAACTTCAGTACACCAAAACTTCAGACGGATTGGAGCAACGGAGTTTAATTTGAATTCGTATTCTCAGCAATTCCTTTCATTTGATACCCATATTGTAGGAAAGCATTAAAACTTAGTCTGCCATCTTTGAAAGTTCGTCATATTTGATTTAGTGTGACGTCACTTTATTTTTCGAGTTATTCTCAGCAAGGCCACAATTCACTTGATTATTTGGTTTTGGTTAAAAAACAACGAAAAAAATACTTAACACCAGTTTCCTTTGAGACCGTGAGATCATTCCGATCGAGCTGGCCCAAATGTACCATAGCCTGGCTTTGGAAAAATTTAACATAAATGAGAAAGGTCCAGCGCTGGTTTTCAACTGGAACCCGTTAATGAATCACAATATGTTTTATATTTTATCAAATTCTACTGTTTGTAAAATTTCGCGATCAAATAAAAGTTTCTTGAACTGAATGAAGTATTTAACAGATTTATTTAAATGTATGTACTTATGTACAAAACTGAGTTGTATACCTGGAAATGTGTAAAATATTATCTAAAAGCCCGTGGGCAATATTTTGTTATATTCAGACAAAAAGTTGTAAGTTGTAATGGTATTGTAAGTTGTTTTTTTATGAAATCTTGTACATAATTGGATTCATGATATCTAATCATATTCTCTGATATCACTTACGTAGTGCTTAACAGTATACCGGTTGTAGAAGTACAAATATACCCATTACGAGTATTTTACCTGATTAATAACATTTTATGTCAGTTTTTCCTTCATTGAATTTTCAAATTTCGTTTTCACAGCAAGGAGGCTTATTTACAAATTCCTACCTCTACAGAGCTTGGTTAGAAAGCAAGAATATAACATTATGCATGAATCAGCACCCCGGCCGCGTCACTCTGGAGAATTTGTGTGTCGGTCTAATTGGCAGTGCTGGTCGGGACTTCGATTCCGATGATGCAGGAGCTCCTATCTTGTACCGGGGCGCCTTAGCTGGATTGGCCTCATTCGGCGCGGCCTCTAGCAATAATAATTTGCCGATAGTTGCCACCGCAATTGCCCCATACACTAACTGGATTGTTGGTGCTGCAGTTTAAGAAAAGCATTTTACAACCTTGGCGTATTCAATGCCTTTTGAAGATATAAAGACAGTGTTATATTATTCTCTTTGCTTTTTAAATAAATGTTTTAAATATTCATGGTTGTTTGGACATCTTCTTAGGATAATTTGCATTTCGTGTGTCTACTGTAATATTTCAGATTTTGTGCTTCTTTGTCACATTTGTAAAAGAGAACAAGTAAATCCTCGCTTGCGGGATATTTAGGGTATTTAGTGTAAGTACTTAGTGTAATCGCATTAAAAACCCTCAAGAAAATCTGATGTGTGCCTGTGATTCTGGTATTAAGTATTGAAGTAATCTCTTCTTCTTAGCGTGTCGATGACAATTCAAATTGAGTCGGCCCAAAATTTGGCGACGAGTTCGGCACTTTCAGTAGCCTCCATCAGTTCCTGTGATGTGCAAGTAACAGGACAGGCTGGACACGATATCAAGTGCCCCATAGTTTGTGGGGCAAGACCACATTTACCCTCCAGGGCAGAGTCATCTATGAATCTCCACCTGAACAGGTTTTCTTTGCTTCGGCCTACCTGTGTCCGTAATTGAAAATTGAAGTAATAGAAAGCGGGATTGAGGTTAAAGGAGAGCTAAATTTAGAGTCAAGCTATTGTGTACTTTAAGTTGCCAAGACTTGGGACACATTTACATTATCTATATCTATACAAAGAAATAAAATTGAAGTGTCTGTTTGTAATGTCAAAGTAATTGTTTTTTTCATGCTCACGCAGTTATTTGCACCATACCTGTGAATATCTGATACCTGTCTATATTTCTGTTTGTTGGGTAATCTTCGAGACGCCTGCACTGATTTTGATAATATTTTACAACTAGGTAGATGTCTATATAAGGAGTAACTTAGGCTATTTTTTCTCTCAGAAAAACGCGTCAAAATTTCAAAAGTTCTGCACCTACCCGAGACAAAAAAATGATGATTAATGTAAATAATGTCCCGGCAACGCGTTTGTGACTCCTGAGTTGCAGACGTTCATGGGCGGCGATAGTCACTTTCCATCAGGTGACCCGTCTGTTCGTCTGCCCCCTCTAACATACAAAAAAATAAGATAGGTATTTTCATAACAATGCTATAGTTATTTAGAATTGTACAAAGCAGTTTAATCGTTATCTGTAAAACCAGTAGCCACTTGTTCAGTTACAAACTTTTTCACTTTTGTACATCACAGGACATTCTCTTCGAAAAAATTGCAATAATCGTACGAAGATTAAAATGCGATTCGAAAGATAAATTTCTAAAATAATATTATTAAATAAAGAATGATTAAAAAAACAACTCTGTTAAACTTATGCGAAAGCTTATTCGCAAAGTAGTTTTCATGTTAATGTATGACATTTTTTTATAGTACAACGTGCAAACGGTCAGACGATATAAAAATAGTGTCCCATCGGACGGTACAGGGACCAAGGTATAGGTGGTTAGGACTCCAGAGACAGAAACCTTCTCACAATACGTGCCGTATTATATAAAGAATACGGAGTGTCATCCTGTGGGTGTCGTCGGAGCTGACTATGAGTAAACTACGCAGGTAACAGTAACAGAACTAAAAAAGGCAAGGGAAACTTGAAACAAACTCTTTTTTTTTTTTTTTTTTTTTTTTTAACGTGTGGAAATCCCCTCGGACCGTCACCCCTCCGGGGTTTGCGGCGGGGTGGTGTGTCGGACTCGGACCGACTAAAACCACACGGTGTGCCACTCTGCGCCTGTAACAGGATGGATCCGGGAACAGCTGTTGTTAAGACATCCGGACCCCTCCTAGCGCCAGCCCGCTCCTGGTGCGGGCTCCGTCTCACTGTTGATGTTCCTCTCTTTAGGCGACGTCCGGCACACGCGGACGCCGCCCCCTCGCGGCTGGCCAACTAATGCGGGTGGAGGGGAAACCCACCCCGTCCACCCGCGGCCACACTCAGGGCGGCATGAGGCTGTGATAGGCGGGCCTCCGCCGCCCGGTTCGCCGGCGGCGGATCGGGTCCGAGTGGAGGTCGTCCTCCCGGGCCCTCTCCGCCGCCTCCTTCCGCGAGATTACTACCTCGCAGAAGGTTGCGACCGCGGTAAAACAACTGTCGCTACCGGCCATGGAGCGTACTACGGCCGGTAGCGAGAGATCCACTCCGATGACTGCAGTGAGGGCCCGGCGCTGCGCCGCCCATGCGGGGCAGACCGCCAGCGTGTGCTGGGCCGAGTCCTCACTGCAGTCGCAGTGGTGGCAGGCGGGACTCAGTTCCCTCCTAGCGACCGTGTGCAGGTACTTCCCGAAGCAACCGTGCCCGGAAAGCACCTGCGTCAGTCGGAAGGAAAGGGTCCCGTGCTGCCGCCCTGCCCACTCGGCGATGACCGGCTGGAAAGCCTCCACGGCGGCGAAGCCAGCGCGTGGAGTCTCCAGCCGGAACGACCAACGAGCCATCGTGGCTCGGCGAGCGGCTTCGCGCCACTCGCGCACATCCTCGGGCGGAGGGCGAAATCCGCTCTCCGCCCGGCAGTCAGCCACTCGCCGATAAACCTCGGCGAGCACTTCCGCCTCCAAATCCCACGGGGGAGTTCCGGCCAACGCGCACGCCACCTCCGTCGAAACGGTGCGGTAACCGCGTATGGCTCTGACCGCCATTACCCTCTGAGGGCGCCAGAGGCGTACCCTATTCTGGGCGGTCAGAGCCGCCGCCCACACCGGTGCACCGTACAGTGCCATTGACCGGACAACCCCCGTGTACAGCCGTCTTGTCGCGACGCTGGGTCCACCCATATTGGGCAGAAGTCGCCCTAGGGCGGACGCAGCGCCGACCAGCTTTGGAGCAAGCTGTCGGAAGTGCTCGTCGAAGCTACCGTCGAGGATCAGGCCCAGATATTTCATCTGGGCCCGAACCGGTACGAGGACCGAGTTGACCACGATGGAGGCGCCAGGGGGTGGACCACGACGGGGCCCATGGAATAACAGGGCCTCCGTCTTATCTAGGGCCACCCGTAAGCCCAGCGCCTCAATGCGCCCGACCACCAGGGAGACTCCCCTTGTGGCCAGGCGCGCCGCCTCTTGGAAGTTTGCCCCCCGGGCTGTCACGAGGGTATCGTCTGCGTAACAGATTACACCCAGCCCGGGGGGGAAATCGGCGCGAAGGGCCCAGTCGTACCCTATGTTCCACAAGAGGGGTCCAAGAACAGACCCCTGTGGAACACCGCACGACATGGGCCGACACCTCAGATTACCTTCTCGGTCCTCGTACACGACGGTACGCTCCTCTAAATAGTCTGCCACCAGCCGCCTCAGGTACTTTGGCACCCCATGATAGTGGAGTGCTTCCCTGATGCAGCTGAATGGCAGACTATTGAATGCGTTGGCGATGTCCAATGACACCGCCAACAGCACGCCGCCACAGCTCACGGCCTCTTCGGTCACGGCCCTCAGGCGCAACACGGCGTCGACCGTCGAACGCCCCGCCCGAAAACCAAATTGGGCGTCCGACAGATCGGGGCCCACCTCGCAGAGGTGCCGGACGATGCGGGCAGAAAGAACCCTCTCAAACAATTTGCCCGCCTCGTCCAGCAGCACGATGGGCCTATAGGCCGCGACCGAATCGGCAGGCCGTCCCGGCTTCGTCAATAGGACCAGCTTCCCGCTCTTCCAGCACTCAGGGAAGCGTCCCGACGCCAAGCTAGCGTCGAACACCTCCCCGAGGCGGTCTGCCATGTGGTTGAGGGCCAGGGCCAGCACTCGGGCCGGTACCCCGTCTGGCCCAGGGGCGGTGTTCTTGGAACGGATCCGTAGAACAGCCGCCCCTACCTCCGATTCCCGGACGGGCGGAACATTGTCCTCCCCGTGCTCCCCGTCGTCTCCGGCCAGGGAGGCCATCGACGGGGGAGTGTGTTCCGCCCGTTGTGGGAAAAGGCCCTCAACCACTTCTCGCAGGAAGCTGGGCTGGAGAGTCTCCGTAAGGGGGGGGGCCCGACGCGCGGAGCTTTTGTCGCACCGCGCGGTAAGGGCGACCCCAGGGGTCACGATTAAGACCCTCCAGCATCTCCTGTCTTTTTTCCTCTTTGGCGCGGCTAATGGCCAGCTTCAGAGTTTTCCGCGCCCGCCGGTACTCCTCATGAAGCCGGTCCTCCTCACCGTCTCCACGGTGACGCCGCCGACTGCGCGTGTAGGACCTCCGGGCACGTGTACAGGCCGCACGGAGGTCCGCCAGCTCCTGGGACCACCAGTAGACCTCCTTCCTTGGAGGCCGACGACCTCGAACGCGGGGCATGGCCGCATCGCATACATGCGTAATCGCATCGCGAAAGCGGCCAGCCCCCACGTCGACCTCCTCGGTCGGAGCCTGAGGAGACAGCCACGAGTGAATTATGGCTGCCTCCTCTAGTAGGTCCCGGTTCAGCCTGGCAACAGCCCACCGCGGAAAGCGGGATAAACGCCGCGCCACGTGACCCCTACTGGAGTCCTGGGTCCGGGAGAGCTCAAATCGGATATACAGGTGATCCGAGAGCGTCTCAACCTCTTCCAGGACACACCAGTTCCTTACTCGTGCGGCGAGGGCAGGGGTAGCGAACGAAAGGTCCACTATCGACCCCCCCTGCTGTCGCACGCACGTGTTGGTGGAGCCTCTGTTTAGAAGACAGAGGCCCACCGAGGCCGCCCACTCCTCTACGGCCTCGCCCCTGGCGTCCGTCCTGGGGGAACCCCACGCAATGGACTTTGCGTTGAAGTCCCCCAGCACAAGGACGTGCCCAGACGCTAGTCGCCGTATCGAGGTCTCCAAGCTGGTCAGGAAAACCTCGAAGTCGTTCAAACTCCGGTTGGGGGGAGAAATAGACACCATATATGGTGATCCCCCCCCACTCGACGGCAACATATCCAGTGCCCTTGTCTCTTAGCGACAAGGGCGGGGAATGAGCCGTCGTGGAACCGACGACTGCCACGGAGCCGTCCCAGTCACCCATCCAGTTTGGACGGGGAGGGACAGAATAGGGCTCCGCGACT